GTCAATTCCAACTTATACTGACACTATAGGACAGAGCAGAACTGCCCCATAGGGTTTCCAAGGAGTGACTGATGGACTCGAACTGCCGACCTCTTGGTTAGCAGCCAAGTTCTTCTTAAATACTGTGTCACCAGGGCTCCATACATCTATATAGCACCCATAAAACTACTTTTTCATATCTATATTTTTATAAATACAAAATTGGAATCTATTTAATTGGTCCAAGCTCCAGTGGTTGAAAGCTGGAGTAAAATAGACATACTTTACATCTATCCCTAAAATTTGTAGTAATATAGAGTTTGTAAAGATGTCCAATTCTACTACTGGCTGCATTTGCTTTTCAATAAAAATTGCACTCACCAATTTTCACCAAACTATATAAGGGTAGTTAGTTTGTTGGCAACTCCCAGTAGCACTGTGAAGCTATAAAAGTTTTAAGTTATTTTAAGGCCTTTCCAGTCCTAATTCAGGCCTTAATCGTTACTGGGCGAAGAAACATTTTGCTGGAACAACTGTTCTTAGATGTGTCTAAATCCAAACAGGGTTCAGGTGACAGAACATAACAATTCATGTAAATATTATCTCTCAAACATAGATACATGCAATTCTTATCCATTCTTGCATCTTCAAAAAAATAAAAAGCCAACAATCCTCTACTGAATCAAAGGTTTCTTTCCCAGGAGTTCAACCCATGTTTGAATTTCCTGAGGGAGCAGCAGAGGGCCTCATGTTTTACTCCCCTTCTATGCGTAGTCACTCCACATCAGCCCTAAGTGGATGAGCAGCTCAAAAGAATCTCTGAGTTACTGAAGGGTGAGAGGTCTCTTCCCGGCTGGGTGCTAAATAACACTCCCATACGGGTTTTGTGACTAAAGATCATGTGCTGGATATGGTGGTAATCTGTCTGGGACTTCTGTCGCTTCAAATATCACCTGGGATGATCTGGCAGAACACATGACCTTCTTGAGTGAATGTTTGATTGAGTTGTTTGGTCTCTGTCTTCTTTTCGGTAGCTTGTACTGCATTAAACAATGTAATTCCTCCTTTGTCCTCCAACTGCACCCAAGATGATTTTTGTATATATGTTTTACAGCGGTAATAAGAATGCCTGTCTTCTAACTTTTTCAGAATCCCTTGCACAGTGCTGAGCACTGGCCAGCACTTGCTAAATGGTTGCTGAATGAAGCAAGGGCCTGTAAGCATGTTCTGTGGGACTTGAGTTCATTAGGTTGTCCTGAGTGCTCAACAACCACGACTTCTTCCAGGAATAGCGCCCAACATAAACTGTTAGGGTAGGAAGCAGCTAAGAGAATGAGGAGTGGAGCTAGACAATTGGAAGTAATAAGGGGGGCAGCTCATTAATGCCATCAGAATTCCTACTGAATTTCAACAGCCTCATAAGCCAGCATTTTGAGTAAATATCCAGTATACATGTCACAGAGTTAAATAAAATGGACTTTCTTCAAAAGAAGTGCTTTTAATACAATAACTGTTTTTGTTTTCTTTTTTTTTTAACCAATGGATTAAAAATTTAACACATTTACTAAATCTGGCATATTTATTATATTGTATCTAAACAGATATTCATGCTGCATTATAATGTAATAATAAAAAAAACGATCTCAGTCTGTCTGTTAAGCCTTTGTGAATCTTTGTGCCATTGTAACAGTAGTGCTAATTATCAAGCAAAGACATGATAATTACGCAGAGCTTTTTTTTTGCTAAAAGAAGGAATCTTTTTCAACACCCACGCGCACCGCACAATTTCCTACGACCCTGTAACATTACTCTGGTATGGCCCAGAAATTTGTATTTCAGTCTAAATGTTGGGAATCTTATTATTTCTCACTTTCCCTCCCTACCGCCTTTTTTTCTTGTGAGTAAACTGTTTTCAGAGGGTTAGAGGAGTGGGGTAATGGTCCAAATGGGAAATATACAACTACTGACCCTTCATGAAACATATTATGCTCCTCATTAACTTACTCAGTTAAATGCGTTCCATTAAATTAAAATAAATAGGATTTAAACTTTCACCTAGGAGTAGTAAACTACCTTAACTCTCAACTTCATGTTAGATCCGTTCTAGGAATGGATTCCTCATGTCCCTGAAGTATCACAGGTTCTTAAGCTTCCAACACACTTTATCTCTTGGTGCTACACAGGCTTACAAACTTACTTGGCAAACCTATTTTAAATGCAGCTTCCCTCACAGGTCCTCTCCTCTCCACCAAGTGATAATCTGCACTTTGAAAAATGCTCCATGTGTGAGTGATGTAAAATCTCATCAAGCTTACTTCTTTATCATCTCTGTTATTACTAAAAATGGAATGGTCAAATATGTGAAGAAAGTGTGATTCAGGTAGTTGAACAGGGCAGGCTCACGATGTCTCAGATACAAACTCTTATGTTCATCGAAAGAACTGAGCTGTCAAGTCTCTAGATTTGGCCTAGGAGGTCCAGAGTGTCTTTTTCAGTCAGAAGCTTTAATCTGTTGATGTTAAACTCAAGAAACTGAAGCTGCTGTCTTACTCTCTTTTAAAGTGTTGCTTTTTAGAGAATTATAATATTCAGAAGGACTTTTAAATTAAACTCTTTTACTTTTGAGATGAGAAAAGTTAAGCCCAGAGAGGATGTTAACTTGTCATATGGTACAATAGTGCAAAACCAGGATCAAATGCAAGACCTCAAACTCTTAACCCAGGGCTCTTCTAATGGCTTCTAAAGAAGTCTGACTCTCAGATATCGATCTATCCAAGAAAATGAAAGTCTCCTACAGTATATGAAGTTTTAAATCAGCCTTTAGGTCATATAACAGAGTTTGCATATTCCCAAGAAAAAACCCTCAGAAGATGTATTTTCTAGAGTTTCAACTCCTTAAAGAAAGCAAATTTCCTGTATCATATTTAAGGACTGGAACAGTTTAACGATCAATTCCAACTCAAATTCTTTTGTTACTCTGAAAATTTGTTATAATGGTTTCCATAATGAGATGGAGTTTTGAATGTAGAGTTGTTTCATTTCTAGAATTAATGTTAAGTATGTGTAAACACACATACACAAAAGCACCTATGAGATTCGACAACTGACTAGTTATGTTCACCTTCACATGTTTATGTATTATGTTTGTATGTGCACGTGGATAAAATACTGCCTGAAATATACAGCACGTAAATTTTATAAACAGTCTAGAATTTCAAGATCAAAGCAAGCACAAAATTCAATGAAAAGCTACCTAAAATGACGTGCAGCAATGTGAATCTGAAAGTATTTTAAGCACATACCGCATTAGAGGTCTACCTATCATCATTTTCGTTTCTCTGAAATTATTTGTTTGGCGTTGTTAGGCAAAAACAAATTGGTCATCTCTACACTTTTGAAAAGCTTCCAAATAAAAGCAAAAAAATAAGAACTAGCTTTAGACAGAATGTGTAAAACACAGATGGATATGGTAGGCAAATTAATTTGATCGGCATTAGTACTAGATTTTTTTCACAGTATAGAACCAGTCTAAATAACGGCAAGGATGACTTGTATTATGGCAAACTGACCCTGAATACATACTTTTGAAACATTTATTAATTTTCTTTTAATTCTGGGAAAGCAGACACAATTTAGGAAACCTGCATTAGCTAGATAAAACCAAAAACCAAATCCGCTGCCGTCAAGTCGACTCACACTCAAAGCGACCCTATAGGATACAGAGTAAAACTGCTCCATAGGATTCTCAAGGAGTGGCTGGTGGATTTGAGCTGCTAATTTTTTGGTTAGCAGCTGAGCTCTTAACCACTGCGCCACCAGGGCAGTAGTAGATTAAAAAAATAAAAAATAAAACCAAACTCGTTGCTGTCGAGTCGATTCCAACTCATAGCGACCCTACAGGACAGAGTACAACTGCCCCACAGGGTTTCCAAGGAGCACCTGGTGGATTTGAACTGCCAACCTTTATGGTTAGTAGCCGTAGCACTTAACCACTACATCACCAGGGTTTCCAGTCACTAGACAGGTGAGGAAAACAGGCAGATGGGAACAGTTCTCATTATACTTTTTCTGATTTAGTATACAGTGCTTATGAAGGGTACTATATTGGAGCGCCAGGAGCAGAGTCAGAATCAACTTGATGGCAATGGGTTTTATATGCAGTGGGTTTTATAAGGCAATGGTATTTAAATCAGATACATGGTGGAAATGTTTAAAAAGTATCAACCAAAATTGTATGGCAATATCATTTGTGCTAACAAATCTAAAAAAAAAAAAAGAGTTTTATCATGAAGTTTATTTATTTTTAGCACAATTAAACAATGTTTCAAATCTCACTTTGTAAAACACTTGAGCTAATATTGAAAAATTCATTTTCATTAGATTTCTGATTCCATGTATATTAAAAGTTTTCATTGCTATACAATTTTGGGGAAAACATTTCTAGGAGAACAAGTGTCTTTATTCTTCCAGCAGTAATGGGCTAGGAAGAATGAATCAGGAAGAAGAAACATTAAGTGAAAAATTGAAAGGTAAGGCCTGGGTGAGCTCATATTTAAATATTTTTTTTCTTTAACTATTTTGGAAAATTATTCTTTAAATAAAAAAAAAATCATCAAAGGCAATCTAAAATGTGGTTAGCTGTCCCCTAGCCACAGTTCCCAACTATGGTGTCACACTGGTAGACAATAATCACTCATGAAGGATGAGGCAAGTAATTTGATACTGGTAATTGATTTCCATCAAGGACCAGATTCTATGTGGTCCCGATTATAATATCACTCTAATTTGCATTTTGAGAGGGAGAGAAAGGCATGGAGTTGGGGTGGAGGAATAGCTAGGGTGATGACCCTAATATATCTATGGGAATATGAACATCCTATGAAAAGGAAGGTAGGTGTGCGGGCGCATGCATGCGTATGCATATGCGTGTGTGTGGTGGGGGAGGACCAAACACCAGGTAGCTCTGCCGGAGCTCAGGGAGCTCTGCTGGAATTTGGGGCTCACCAAGCTTGCCCTCTCACCTCCACGATGTCTGAATTTGTCCGGCTCTCGTGCGGCTCGTTGTACTCCGTGTACTTGAGCAACACCTTGTCCATGTCGGTGCTGGCGTACTGGAACAGCTTGTTGGTGCTGTTAAAGATGATCAGTGCAATCTCACAGTCACACAGCACGCTCAGCTCGTAAGCCTTCTTCATCAACCCAAATTTCCTCTTTGTAAATGTCACCTGGAAAAAAGAAAGCAGGCATTTTTTGATAAGGGTAAAAAAAAAAAAAAAAAAATCATGCATGCAATTTTTTACAGTACTTTTTTTCTTTGTAAAACAATGACTTGTAGTTGTCAGAGCCCTTGGGCACTAACACGTTTGGAGAGAAAGCAAATAAATCTAAAACTAATTTCTCCTTAGAATTTGAAAACGTGTGATTTCTAGCTTTTGCCGAATGTGAAGACTGTAAATGAAAGATTTAACGTGGGGCATTTTAATGTTGATTACCAGGAAACTGTTCGTGTTTCCTTCAGCAATTTTAGATTAAAAAAAATTAATTTCCACATGGTTAACATCTTTCCCAATCATGAGTTCGGAGCTTGTTTTATGACCACTTGAGGACTGGACATGGCATTAAGAATTTAACATTTTAGGTTTGTGCTCAAAAGGAATCTTAAAACTGTTTAGTCTCATGCCATTTAATTGAAAACACTTGAAAGGATATGACTGTGCTCTCAGACAATGTTGTGTTCTGTTTTCTAGAAATCCAGCAGGGTGTTGGGAAGTACTTTAGTCATAATACTGTTAGGGTTTTGGCTTCATTCTTCTGAGTATCTTTTGTCCTCTCCCAGGCCCAAAACTATATTGTTAACGTTGACCTTTTCTCTTTTTAATCTAATCTATTACCAAGTCCCATAACTCCTTCCCTCAAAATGTTTCTCAGGTTCACACTTTCCTTATATTTCCCAGGCAGCTCTATCATTCAGGTCCTTATCACTTCATTCTTAGACAGCCTAGCAGCTTCCTGTCCTAGCTGATCTCCCTGCCTGGAATCACTCCCTCCTCAATTCATCCCAGTCTTTAAAACTTCTCTCTTCCTACTGACTTTCTCCTAATCAGCAGTCTACAATGGCTCCCTTTCTCTAGTTTTGAACACCCTACCTGCCAATCCTACCAACGCAAATGTATATTTCACTGTTCCTCATTTAAACCTTCTCTTGGTTAAACTCAGAGCCCTGGTGGCACAGGGGTCAAGAGCTACCGCTGTTGACCAAAAGGTCGGCAGTTCAAATCCACCAGCTGCTCCTTGGAAATCCTATGGGGCAGTTCTACTCTATCCAGTAGGGTTGCTTTGAGTCAGAATCGACTCAGTGGCAGTGGGTTTGGGTTGGTTAAACTCCAGCCTGTCACTCCAGCCTGCTCACCAAAAAGTCATGAATGTTCTTAATTATAAACCTTTAAACAACAATCCAGTGTTTCCCAATGGGTCTTCTGTAGAATACCACTCCTGTGAAATACTCCTTAAGAGGAAAGTTTGATGGCCCAATACGTTTGGGAAATGAGGCACATTAGTCTATTAAAGGTTAAGAAACCTTTTAAACTTTAATGCATTTCCCAAAACCATTGCTGGCAGAATAGTTGCTTTTTTGTCTGTTTTAAGAAACACTACCATTCTTTGGAAACCCTGGTGACGGAGTGGTTAAGAGCTATGGCTGCTATCCAAAAAGCTGGCAGTTCAAATCCACCAGGTGCTCCTTGTAAGCCCTATGGGGCAGTTCTACTCTATCCTATAGGGTTGCTGTAAGTCAGAATAGACTTGACGGCAATGGGTTTGGTTTTTTTTTTTGTTTTTTTTTTGCTTTATCATTCTTTGGAAATCTGTTTTTGAGGCACACACTTTGGTAAATGCTGACTAACTTAGCTATTGTTTTCAATAGGAACTATTTGGGTTTTTCTTTTTTTTCTTACCTTCAAATCCGACCCATCTTACAGAGGCCAGCTCAGTTTCACCTGATACCTCTTCGTGTATAATTCCTAAATCTAGATTCCCACTCCTTATCTTCCTCTTAGTCCAGACACTCAATGGATTTTCTCTAGTCTTATGTCCAGCTGAATGCCCTAGGAATCTCAAACACTCCAAACTCATTGTCTTCACCCCCAATCTGCTCTCCCTCCTGAATTCCCCATCTCTCTATAAATTCAGTCCCCCAAAGTAGAAACTTCAGAGTGAACTTTGAATCCCCAATGTCCCCCATACGTAAATAAATGTGTTGAAAGAAACCATGAGCTAGCAGATAGAAAATCTGACCTCCCAATCTCCTCGTTCCTCCACACTTCTGCTAATTATTGTTTTACCTATCACCCTTTGGGAACCCTGGTGGCACAGTGGTTAAATGCTACAGCTGCTAACCAAAAGGTTGGCAGTTTGAATCCAGCGGGCACTCCTTGGAAACTTTATGGGGCAGTTCTACTCTGTCCTATAGGGTCGCTATGAGTCGGAATCGACTCGACAGCAATGGGTTTTTTGGTTATCACTCTTTACTTTTCCTTAATAGTACTTATCACATTTTATGATTTGTATTTTTTTGTGTGATCATTTGTTTAATGTATGTCTCTTCCATAAGGAAATGTGTGATTTTATTTTACTTACACCTGCATTTTATTTTGCCTCAGTGCCTAGAACAGGAGACACATGTGGGCACACAGTAAAGGACGTGGTATAAAAAACTGAGTAAGGGAACACTGCTAAGTGAAATTTTTAGAAATACAAAATTGATGTAGGTTATATAAAATTATGCAATAGCTTTTCCTTATATCTGAGTAACTCATAAATGTAAGTTTTAAAGAGATAAACGTGTACTTTACTTAATGATTACATTATTTGATAGTTAATTTGCATTGAAGGTAGCATGGTAGAGAGGAATGAACACGGGGTTTGGGTTCAGAGAATTTTGGATTGGGATGCTGAATCTGCTATTTACTAAACCAAAAAACCAAACCCTTTGCCATCAAGTGGTTTCCAACTCACAGCGACCCTACAGGAAAGAGTAGAATGACCGCACAGGGTTTCCAAGGCTGTAATCTTTATGGGGAGCCCTAGTGGCAAACTGGTTAAGAGCTCGGCTGCTGACCTAAAGGCTGGCAGCTCAAATCCACCAGCCGCTCCCTGGAAACTGTATGGGGCAGTTTTACTCTGTCCTATGGGGTTGCCATGAGTCGGAATCGACTCGACGACAATGGGTTTGGTTTAATCTTTATGGAAAGAGATTGCCACATCTTTCTCCTGCAGAGTGGCTGTAGGTTTGAACTCAGACCTTTCAGTTAGTAGCTGAGCACTTAACCACTGTGCCACCAGGGCTAGTCATGAGAAATTCACTTTACCTGAGTTTGAGTTTTTATCCGTAAAACGGAGCTAGCACTTACTCTTAGCATTAACCTAAGGACCGTGAAATAATGTATATACTACATCAACCACGTTGCTTAATTTAAAATAGATGCTCAGTAAATCATTGTTCCTTTCCCTATCTTAGCTGACTCACAGAAAAAGAAGAACTAAAAAAATTTATCTGTCTTGGTGGCTTGAAGAATCTACTGACTAAGGGTATTTGAGGTTGTATTGTTGCTGATAGAAAGATAATGCTGAGCTGTGGAATCCTCAGTGATCATCCTTTAGACAATATAGCATTTAGATAGTTGCCAGCCTAAATAAGCTAGTCAATATCTACTCAGATATGTTATTTTACATTTCAACTTGGGCAGTTTTTCTTTGTAATAATTGCCAATGTCTCACCTTCTGTTTAACGGTCACAGATTGTCTTATTAAAGTGCCTCTGATAAAATAGAGCTAATATTTTGTTTTCATATCTGAGTGCATATTTGATTTTTGTATCATACTACTTCAGAAACTTAAACTTTTGGTTCATTCAGACGAGTCATGATTGATATTAAGGATAATCTAAATAAAAATTATCTTTTGGGAAACGTATAAAGAAGTATAATAACTAATTACACAGAACTATATAAAATGTCTTTTAGTATAACTTTTAGATGCAATTTAGTTACGTAAATATACCTGCACATTGGTATTTTATTTAGTGAAACAGGTCACAGAATACATTTAATGCAGAAGGCATTGACCCAAAATACTTTCATGTATCTAAAACCACTCTTAATCAGACTTCATGACCACAAACTGTAGGTGGAATGTCTCAATACAGTATGGTTTCTGTTGTACTCAAACCTCAGAATTTAGCACGTTACAACACTCGCCATCAAAGTACATTTCAGTACAGAAATATCATCAAAGCCACTATTTGTGTTTACTTTTAGACGCTCCTCAACTTTTGTGTAACCAAATAGGCTGCTGGATAATGCATACTTATTTAATAATACCCATCCTCCCCCAAAAAAGTCAGTGCGTATAGCTTCTTTTCATTAAAACTGCAAACTGAAATGATGATGACTGTATTAAAGCATTTAAGAAAAATCTTCAAAATCTACTCTTAATTGCGCTAAATTTAATTCTGTATTATGTTCATATTCTTCATAGCATACTCAAAATGTATTTTATAATGCTTTTTCTCATTATTCATCGTTAGATAAAATTGTTTTTAAGCATTAAGCTTTCTAAAGAGACCTAGGATATTATTCTTTGTTTAAAATGTGCCACTCAATGACAAAGATTGCAATTCAGAGCTTTTATACTTAAATATAATAATGTAATGATTACATTTTTCATAACCTGACAATAGTTTGTAATGGGGACAAGTCCATATGTCTATTTCAATAACATATTTTGAAACTTAGGTATGATTAAAAACTGTTTTTACAGTAGTTAGGAGAGCAATGCTCTTTTTCAGTGTTTACATCAATCAAAGTGCATCAAGAAGAGAATAAAGCCAATATTATTTAAGCGGGCACTATAATTTTGACATTCAGTTTTCAGAATTAAAGAGCTTTAATATGTGTGATATATATGTGGAAAGCAAAATTACTCTGTAAACATTGACCATTTTATGTTTTTTCTTTGCTTCTTAAATCTTTAAACAGCCCCAAATATAACAATGAGATTGTAATAAGATGGTTTAGTATTAATTTTTATAGTAGCCCTGAGTTTTAAATCCTAGCATAAGGGCAGACATCACCCATCTTTTGCTGACAATTACTCTAGAACTTATAAGGTGTGAGTTAGAAACTGAAATAAGAACTGGAAATTGAGAGAAGGTACAGTCATTAAACAC